TGGGTCAGCGCATGCGCAGTGATCATTCCGCCCTTTTCAAATGAAAACTATTAATCCTTACAACATTTCTTACGAGCCCACGAGGTAGCGAGTTATCGAGTCAGGTGTGGCGTTAAAAAAAATAAACTAACAAGTAAAGGCGTGACCGCACCAACGCGGTGGTCACGTGGAAGAAGATGGCTGCTGCCAAGGGAGCTTTGATTTGTTAGTCACCACGCATGCGCACAGATCACCGTACCGCAAGATGGCGGCTTCCAGGGGCACCATGTTACTGCGAAGGGCCGCGGGAAGCCTGCCTGGGCTGGCTCTGCTCCCGAGGCTCTTCTGGGCCCAGGTGAGGAGCGGGGCTAAGGGGGCTGGCCGGGGCCATGGGCTGTGATGTCATTGCATGTATCACTTTGTGGGGGTGACGTCATTATGCTGTACCGGAAATGTCCACTGTGATATCATTGTGCCAGGGTGGGTGGAGTGTGATGTCAGAGCTGCCCTGCACCAAAATCACTAGCTATGATGTCATCATGCCATGAGAGGGCAGTGTGATATCATGATTACAGTGCTATGAGGTCATCACCCCCTGGGGGTGGGGGCAGTGTGACATCATGGCTGCTGTGCTATGAGGTCATCATGTCAGGAGCAAGGTGGTGTGACATCATGGCTGCTGTGCTGTAAGATCATCATGCTAATGGGTGGCAGTGTGACACTGTGGGTATCATGCTGTCTTGGAGCTGTGTGGCGTTGGACAACATGATGTGATGTGGCGTTGTCCTGCTGTGACTCCCCAAGGGTGGGTCAGGGAGAGATCTGACATTATTGGTGTTCCCAGAGTCCCCCTGCCATGACATTGTCCTGGAGTGCTGTGGTCATGCACGTCAACATAACACAACACGGTTATCCGGGGCTGAGACAGCCTGCCAACTTGATTGCTGGTCCTCACCAGATCGGGATTACAGCGGGGTATGAGGTTCCCCTGGCGTGGTGTTATTCCATTGCGCAGCATCGCTGTGTCACGTGGGCTCTCAGCGCCCTGTCATTGTGGGAGCCTGCAGGTTATTTTGGCTTTGAGGCACGAGCCCACTGGGCCACCCACCTTAGACACAGTTTCCTGCTGCTGTTTCCATGCAGTGTCCAGCATTTGGGACAGGGCAGCTGCAGACAGCAAATCCATTTGTCCTTACTCTGTGTTTGTTTGCTTTTTCCTTAAAAGTAGTCGGGAAATTAAATGCAAAAAATATCGTTAAAGTTGCTTGCTATAAAGATCATGCTAGCATCTTCCAACCCCAAGGATAAACTCTTTCAAATGCACTAGCCCTGCTGTTTCATCACAGAGTGGCATTGGGCTCAGCTGAAATGCAGCCTTCTCTGGGTGAAGCACAATAACGAACCTCTGCAGAGTGGAGGGAAGAATTCAGGCAAGAGCACTGGGGCAAACCATTGTGCCCGCAAAGCCCAATCGGTGCTGTTTTCAGTGATGGGTGAGTGATTCTCCCCTCCCCTATGCTGTGTTGCTGTGTGGCTATTCCCCAGCCACCTCACCCCAGAGGTGGCTGCATTTCTGTGATGGGTGAGTTAACCCCCTCTCCCCCCGTGCCATGTTGCTGTGCTGCTGCTGTTCCCTAGCTGCCCCACCCCAGAGGTGGCTGCATTTCATTGATCCTTATCTAATATCCTAGACGCGGTAGAGACAGCCACTCATTGGGGTGGTCTGATCCTTTCTCTCCTTTCCTGACTTGGCCTTTCTTAGGCTGCTCCTGCTGCCTCGCTCCTGCGGCTCCAGCGCCCGCTGCTCCGGGTGTTCAGCACAGAGACGGACCCAGTCGCCTCAGCAGAGCCAGTCGCCTTTGACACCGAATCGCGCTTTAAGGAGAAACCCTGGGAGTATCTAGAGACGGAAGGTATCTGGACAGGAGCTGCAAAGGGGTTGGTGCTAGGCCTTGGACCTGCTGCTTCACAGGCTGGCAGCACCAAGGGCGACCTTGTGAGGGGCTCAGGATTCCTGGAAGTGGTCTAGGGGTTAGAGTGAGGTGGGAAGCGGACCTGGGATCCAGGATTCTTGGGTTCTATCCCCTGCCCTGGGAGGGAAGGAGAGTCCAGTGGATTAGAGCGGGGCGGGCTGGGAGTCAGGACACCTGGGATTCCATCTCTGGACCAGACTCTCAGTATGAACATTGGCCATCCTCCTCCCACTGTGACTCAGTTTCCCCATCCGTACGGGGGGTCTGATGCAACAGAGGCTGCACTCACTCATGTTCTCTAGGATCCTCGGTGTGAACCCCACTTGGGAATGGCTAACTCTCCCCTCCCCCCTTGCAGAGTACATCGAGAGATATGGCGACAAGCCCGTCTGGTTCGGCTATCGACGTAACCACAAGGGATCCATCCCCCCTCAGAAGACCCGCAAGACCTGCATAGTGAGTACAGCCCCACACCTTGCCCTGCCCCTCAGCATGGGCAGGGTTTGGGGCCAATGACTGGCACACCTGTCAGCTGTCCAGACTCCAGGAGACACATGGGGGAGCCAGTGGACACCCAGACCCCACTGTATGGCATGAGCTGTCTTCAGCAAGGCGGGTCGGAGAGATGCCAGCAAAGAAAGAGGTCCTTAGTCTGGTGGTTAGAGCAGGGGCCCTGGGAGCCAGGACTCCTGAGTTCTATCCCTTGCTCTGGGAGGAGAGTGGGGTCTAATGATTAGAGCAAGGGGGCTGGGAGTCGACTCCTGGATTTTGTCTGCGATCCAGGAAGAAAGTGTGGATCTAGTGCAGTGATCCTGAAACTGTGGGGTGCACCCCCCTGGGGGGCACGGAGGAACCTTCAGGGGGGAGGGGGAAGCAGCAAGGTCATCCCCCACAGTGGGGGGAAGGGTGAAGAGAAAGCGCCATCCAGCTCTGCTCCAGCCCTGCCCCTAGCTGCAGCTTGGGCTTCACTCTCAGCCACAGCCCCACAATTCCCTTGCGGACAGGTGGCTGACAGGTTCCATTACAGGTAAGGCGGGGGCGACAGAAAAAGTTTGGGGACCACTGATCTAGTGGTTAGAGCAGAGGGCCTGGGAGCAGGACTCCTTGGTTCTGGACGGGGAGTAGGGTCTCTAATGGTTAGAGCAGAGGGTGGGGGGGTATAAAAGTGGGAGGAGAGTGAAAAGACCAATGGTCTTGCTAGCCTTGGTGAGATCCATAGCAGATCAGAAACGGGTGGTTTGATGAGAGGCATGGGAAGGTAAATGGCAGGTGACACCAAACAAAGGAGGAGTTTGAAGGTCAGCAGGACCCAGAGAACTTAGATCCGTTAGCAGCTGGTCTACAGGGGTCGGAATCATCCCCAGCGAGTGTCGAAAAGGGACCAGGACAGTGGGGGCTGGAGAAGAGTCTAGTGGAATTTGAGAGCACAGCTGGTAAGGATACCCAGCCCCTGGAGAGGGGCTGCTGTGCCTGCCTCTGCTGGGTGACCATGGACAAGTCGCTGCTCTTTTCTGCCTCAGTTTCCTCATGTATAAAATGGGGCTAAAGACAGCAAAGCGCTTCGCGATCTCCAGATGTAAAGCCCTCGGGAAGAGCTTGGGATAATTATAATAGCAAGGGACAGATGCTTCGGGCATGAGGAAGGTCAGGAAGGCCATTCTATGGAGACAGGCTATTCCATATCTGACCTCTAGGGGTTGTTTGCACCTTCACCTGGTGCTAACAGCTGTCAGAGACGGGATACCGGGCTAGATGGGCCCATGGGTCTGGCTCACCGTGGGCCCTGCTTTGTGGTACATGGGGACCACTGCTGGCTGGGGTGTGAGCAGGGTGGAGAGGCGGCTCAGCTCTGACAGTCTTGTTTGGTTCCCCAGAGAGGAAAGACGACTGCGGGGAACCCCTGCCCCATCTGCCGAGACAAGAAACTCCACGTGGACTACAGGGTAAGGGGCTGAGCCCAACTCAGGCCCTTCTGGCCACTCGCGACCCCCCGGCCGGGCCTGTGACCCCCCCCACCCCTCGACCTGGAGAGAAAACACACGTGTGGTCTGGGCTCCCTGGGCACAGCTCTATGACCCTCTACCCCAGCTCTGTAACCCCCTTCATAAGGCCTGCCCTGGCTGTATGATTCCTTCTGCCCTGAATCTGTGATCCCCACTTCTTCCCTCAGGCCGGCCCTGCCTGTATGGTCCCTCCTCTCCCCTCCCCCCCCCCCGGGCTCTTTGGGGAACCTGGTGTCCCCCAGCAGCCTGGCATCCTCTCTGCGGTGCCAACCCCTTTCCCACCTGTCCCTGCTCCTGCTGCTCACGGTTCCATCTCTGCCTCTCTCCCCCCACAGAACGTGAAGCTCCTGGAGCAGTTTGTCTGCTCCCACACGGGTGTCACCTTCCATCCCACCCGCACAGGTACATTGCCCCCCGGCCCAGGGGGGCTTGGAGTCTGCCACAGGGAACCACTTTCCCAGTTAGACCAAAGGGGTGGGCGGGGAGCCATCTGCCTGGTTCTGGGGGGGACCCCAAGAGAGAGGAAGCAGAGGCAGTGAGAAGGCTGGAGTAGTGCAGAGGTGAGGGAGAATAGCCCAAGAGGCCAGGGGATAGTCTTTGTGTGGGGGGTGCCAGGAGGTGGGTGGGAGGGGGATTGTTGGGGGCAGGGGGAGAGAAGGATGAAACTGACCAAGGAGATGACATTTCCCATCGCCCCATGGGGCAGCATCGTCCCGTGCAGCCTGTTTCCCAGGGAGATGGAGATGCCCCATCCTGGGAAACCCTCTTTGTCCCCTGGGGCCCTGCCTGTCCCTTTTAGAAACAGAAAAGGAGCCTCAGGATCAATCTGCCCCAGAATCAGCTCCCCAAACCCCACAGTTTCTTCATCCTCTGAGACACGCTCCCCTCTCCTTCCGCTGCAGGCGTCTGCATGAAGCAGCATAAACGCTTGACCCAGGCGATTGACCAAGCTCGTGACCATGGTGAGTAGGGAGCTGGATATGACCAAGTGGGAATAGCAGGGGGCTGCGGGTTGGGATTGAGGGGCACCGGCAGAGCTGGGCGGTGGGGAGTGGGGCTGTGGATGGGGATTGACCCCTGTCTTGCTCACCAGCTGCCTTTCCTCCCTCCCCCGCTCCCCCGCAGGGCTCTTGAGCTTCCGCATCCCCTTGGTGACGCTGCAGGGAGAGGACTACAGCAACCAGCACCAGGCTGTGACCAAGACGCCCCCCGCCCCCTCCCTGCAGAGCCAGGCACCTTGGTACCCCTGGTACGAGTGGCAGCAGCCGCCCGAAAAGGACATTGCCAGGATCCGCAGGATATACAAGAACTATCTGAAGGAGGAGACTGGCCCGGCATGAGGGCCCAGGGCAGGACTGGATGGAGTGTCCTGGGGCATGGGCCACTCCTGGGGGAGCTTGGGCCTTCGGCCTCACCTGACGAGCCAGCCCTAGTCCCCACCCCTGCAGGGATAGCGCTGGAGCTGCCCAGCTCCCGGCCATGACTTGTCCAAGCCTTCAGTGGGGAATAAACTGGAAGCTGCCAGCAGTGACTCCCTGTGGTTATTCACCCTGTGCTGGGAATGCTGAGCTGGATTGGGAATGGGACATGGGGCCTTTTCTCCTTTAGTGGGCACAAGCTCCCATCCAGAGGAACTGGCTGGCTATGGGGGTGGGGAATGGGACACGGGGCCTTTCACCTCTAGGGGGTGCCAGCTCCAATCTGGCCCCAGCTTAAATCTATTTTCACACATCTCTGGGATGTATGGTCAGGCTCTTCCAGGAGAGCCAGCTGGGGCCCATGCTGGCTGGGGACACTCTGATCCTGTGCTCTCACCCTCTCTTCCCCAGATGCCCCATGGTAGCAGCCGGAAGCTGGAACAGGTCTGGCAGATGAAGGCCTGTGGGGGGGAAGGGGAGCAGAGCAGTGACAGGCCATAGCGGAAACTTCAGCCCAGCTGGTGACATAGCAGATAGCATGTCTACTCCCTGACCAACCTACAGTGCAGCCCACCCAGTCCCAGGAACACACCAGAACAGCCACACTTGGACAATTGCAGAATGCAACTCACTCACAATGGACCCACTTGATCAGACGCACAAAGCACCCACCTGCCTGTGAGCCTGCCTACAGGGCACCTATCCCCAACTGAGATCAGGGGCCCATTGGGCTGGGTGCTGCACAGACACACAGCGAGAGACGGTCCCTGCCTGAAAGCTCTTGCAAGCTGAACAGAAGAGGTAGAGGAAGGCTCACCCCCATTTTACAGTTAGGGAACCTGAGGTTTATAGAGGTACAAGGCTGATACAGACTCCCTTGCCCAGGGAGTCTGTATCAGAGTTGGGAATTGAACCCCAATATCAATTCCCCAGCCTGCAGACCCCCTCAGTGGGCTAGGGAACCCCTTCTCTCAGGGTTCCCCCTTACCATGCCAGATGCCCCGTAAACCCCAGGCAGCTGGGCTCCCAGATACTACAGTGATGGTGGGAATATAAAATAGGAGTGGGTCAGACAAGCCTTTTTTGGTGGTGGTGATGGGGGGGTTATAGAGGTTTCCATTCTGTGGTACTGAGCTCCCTCTTGCAGCCTGATATGGGGGTATGCTCTCTTTAAGGATGGGGGCTATGGTGTTGCCATGATACTCCCCATGCCCTGGCCACTGCAGCCTAGTGTGAAGTGGGGGAATCCATCTGTGGGAGGGAGGGGAGGTCCCCACAGTTGCCTCTTCCCCTTCCCCACTCACCCTGGTTGACAGGAGGTGTCCCCCTCTTTAATTGTGGGGGGTGGAATATTCCTCCCTCATCCTGGTGACTGGGGACAAGCCCGGAGGTGTCCCCCAATATTGGATGGGTCACCTCTATACTACACCTTTGGATGAAACAGACCAGGGTGTGGGAGTGTGGGGTCTGTTACTGAGGGACCAGTCTTATTATGGGGGAGACAGACTGAGGGGGCCCTTCCACTGGGAGATCCAGACTAAGGGTGTCTTATCATTTGAGGGGATGTCAGACTGTTATAAGTGGCTCTCCAATATTGGGGGACTAGGCTGTAAGGGGGTCCTTATGGGGAGATGGCAGGTTGGGGGAGGTGCTTATGGTAGGGGATAGTCCTTGGGGTCCCCTATGATGGGAGAGCCATTGTCTTGGGGGAGTCTTGTATAATGGGGGGACCAGATGGGGGAGTTCTATGGAGTGAGGGGGAAGGCAGACTGAGGGGGACAATCCTGGGGGTCCCTATCGTAGGTTAGGCAGCTTCAGGGAGCAGAAGGACTTATTTATTAGGATGGAGACCAGATTGGGGTGTCCCATCCATTGGAGGAGGCAGAGATAGTTCCTTATTTGAGCCAGATTAAATGGGTCCTCTAATTAGGAGGGTGAGGCTGGGGTGGGGGAAGTCCCCTGTATTGCTGATCATAAATTGGTGGATCCCTCTATTTGGAGGGCAGCCCATGGGAAGCAGATTAGGTGAATCCCCTAGTTTGAGGGTGGTGAGGCTTTGGTTGCTCCCCAGTATTGGGCAGACCTGGATGTGGGGGACAGCTACTGGGATCTTATCACCCATGATGCCCTGGAGCAGAAATGAGCACCCCTTACCCATCATAGTCTGGGGCAGGGGTGATGGGCACTCATTACCCATCATGCTCTAGGACAAGGAGCAGCTATTACCCATCATGGCCTTACTGTCATGCCTTGGGGCAGGGGGCAGCCATTTACCCATCATGCCCTGGGGCAGGGCTCTAGGACAGGGAGGGGCAGGGGTGAGAGGCGCCCATGGCCCATTTTGCGGGGGAGGGAGCAGAATGAGAGAGGGGGCGGGGCAAGCTCAAGGCCGTGGTTGCTAGGGAGGCCTGGTTGCTAGGGGCGGGACCAGGCGCGGGACGGTTGCCACGGAAGCGGGGTGTCGCTAGGGGGCGGTGCGCGCGTTGCTAGGCGGAAGCCGCGCGCCGAAGGACGAGGCTGGGCGGGGGGCGAGCAGCAGGACCCGGATGCCGGCGGGCTATGGAGTTCCACTTCGATGTGGACGCGCTGCTCGGGGAGCGGGTCACGGCGGTGGACCAGCACCTCCAGCCGCCGGGCCGCAGGGGGCCTGGCTACACCGCGGCCCATAGGTAACCATGGCAACGGCCTGGCCGCGCCGCGCGGGGCCGCTCCGGGGTGATGACAACTGGCATGGGGGGCCTAGGGCACCATGGGTAACGTGCCCATCACCCTTGCCCTAGGGCACCTTGGGTAAGGGGGGGACCCTGCCCTAGGGCACCATGGGTAACATGCCCATCACCCCTGCCCCAGGGCACCATGGGTAAGGGGGGACCCTGCCCCAGAGCACCATGGGTAACATGCCCATCACCCCTGCCCTAGGGCACCATGGGTAAGGGGGGACCCTGCCCCAGAGCACCATGGGTAACATGCCCATCACCCCTGCCCCAGGGCACGATGGGTATTGGAGGGGTGTCTCCTGCCTCAGGGCATGATTGGTATCCAGAGAATCCCATAGGTAATGGGTGCCCATCACCCCTGTCCCAGGGTGCACCTTCCCTAGTGTGTGGTGGGAAGGAGATGCCTGTCACCACTGCCCCAAAACTGCAGCCAGGATGTGGTGTTGTCACTTATCCCGACTAATGGCACCGGAGTAGGGATGTAGATGGGGGCCCTGCACCAGGCAGTAGGTGAAGGTTTGCCTCAGCGCTCTCCACATGCACAATTGGGGTCAGTCCTCAGCTTCCCCATGGTCAGCCTGTCCCCAGGCTTTGCCAGGGTGGCTTTTGCTTGATTTAGAGCACCCCAGAGCGTCCAGTCGAGGGTGGCACCAGGAGGGAGTTGTTTTGGAGAGCCTGGGTCCTTTAGGATCATTGGCATTTCCCCCCATTTGCTTCCTCTGGAGCCTTCCGAAGTGGTGTTTTCGGGCTATAGGAGGCAAAGTTATTTCTGGATATCACCCAGACTCCAGGATGATGGGTAATAGCTATTCTCTGCCCTGGGGCGTGATGGGTAATAGCTACCCCTCATCCTTGCCCCCAGATATGATGGGTATTAGGCACCCTTGTCCTGAGGAATGATGGGTAATAACTGCTCATGTGATTGGACCTTGGTGCAGCTGGGTAAAAGGAGCATGCTGGGTAAATTCCACTACCTGTGCTGGGAATAATCTGCCACCCCTTGCCTGTGGAGCATGCTGGGTAATTGCCACCACTTCCTCATGAAGTCACTTGCTTAAATGGCCTCTGGAGTGTTTTGCTGACTTCTCAACTATGGGGCGGAGGTAGAGGAAGGGCCAGAGCCCCACATATTGTAACCTACAACCCACAGTTCCACCAGTGAGCCACGGGCCTTGCATCTCCAGGCGGCCACGTATCTGCACAGCAGTGCCATGTATCCATGCCACGGTGTCCCTGGAGTGATGTAGCCCTGGCTACGGAAGAGCCTGGCCCCTCCCAGTGAAGGACTGAGAAACATAGGATGGAGATTGGGGTGTGTGGGGCACTCCTGGGTTCCATTCCCAGCTCAAGAAGGGGAGTGGGGTCTAGTGGGTTAGAGCGAGGGGTGGGGCTGGGAGTCAGGACTCCTGGGTTCTAGCTCTGGGTGGGGAGTGAAGTCTAGTGGTTAGAGCAGGGGGGGGCTGGAGGTCAGGATTCCTGGGTTCTAGCCCTGGCTCTGGGAGAGGGGAGTGGGGTCTAGTGGGCTAGAACAGATCTTGGTGTTTAGTTGTAAATGGCGGGGGAAGGAGTAACAGAATTCAGCAGAAGGCAAAACTTTGTTGGATCCCATCAACTCCAGCTCCAGACGGGCTGGGCAGCGTTGATCCCTACATCCTATTCCCCAGGCCTTTGTCCAGACAGAGGTAAAAAAATTTCCAGTGCTCAGACTCCGCCCTCCTCCCTTGGAGAGAGACTTGCATAGGCTCAAAGATCTGCCCAGACAGCGCTAGGGGATGGGCCCTGACACCCAGTTGCAGAGCTCCCCCACCAATCCCTCCTAGCTCGACATCCCCTAAAGAATCCTCCTCCCTTCAGACGCTGGTAGACAGTTTTTGCAGTGGTGAGGCTGCAAGCTGGGAGGCTGTCACCAACATACAGCCGATTAAATCTTTCCGCTCTGCTGCTGCTTCATGTCTGCGCTGCCTAATGGATTGTGCCAGAGTACTGTACAGTGGGTTGTGAGAGTCCCTCATGATCCCCCGAGGCCCTTCCATTGTGGCTTATATTGTGGGGATTTTATGTTAAAGGACTGAGGGGGTGGGCTGGTGGATAGAGCAGGTGGCCAAGGCATTATGGCCCCCTGGGTTCTACCCCCAGGTCTGGGAGGGGGTAGGGTCCAGTGGGTTCATGAGGGGGCTGGGAGCCAGGGCTCCTGGGTTCTATTCCAGCTCTGGGGGGAGAGTGGTTAAGCAGAGGGGACTGGTAGCTGGAGAACAATAGGATATTGTCCTGCTGATGTTTTTCCATGTGAATGCATCTCAGACACAGACTGACCTCCTGCAGTCTCCCCTCCCCCTGTGGCATTTAGGGCACAGACCCCTTTCCCTCAGCAAAGGTTGGGCACAGCCCCTCCTTCTATGGGTAGGTCGGACTCCAGCGAGTCCTAACTCCTTTGCTCTCTGGCCTCCTCTGCTCAGGGTGGATCTGCAGCAGCAGCTCATGACCATCATAGACGAGATGGGCAAGGCCTCGGCCAAGGTAAGGCAGGGTTTGGAAACCGAGGGGTTAATGGGAGGTGGGATGGGATCAGACTCTGGGGTGGGGGGAAATAGGGATACCAGGATCAGCCAGATGTGAGCTCTCCCACCCTTGTTTACCCCGCCCCTCGTTTATTCCCCTCCTGTTATTTGAAGATGAAGGCTCATCAGCGAGCTAGAAAATGGGTGAGCTCAGGAGGGTGGGGAATGGGACAGGGGGGCTTTCCCCTCTAGGGTACGCTGACTCCGACGTGGCCCCAGGGCAGGGTACAGGCTGGCTCTGATCCAGGGCTGAGCTGTGGTAGTTCTCCTCCCCAGCACAGCTTTGCCCTCTGCTCCAGCTCACCCCAAATCTGTTTCTAGGCCCAGAACCTGCCGGTCCCAATCACCAGCGCCTCACGGATGCAGACAAACCACCACGTTCTCTACATCCTGAAGGACAATGAAGTGAAGACGTGAGTCCCCCTGCGACCCGGGTTTGGTTCCCGAGCCGGTCCTGTGGAGAAGGGCACGTCATTGTGCATCAGACCAGTGGGCCATTCTGGCTTATTAGCTGGCCTCCCCAGATCAGACCCATGGGCCCATCTAGTCTGGTATCCTGCCTCCCCAGATCAGACCATTGGCACAATCTAGCCCAGTATCCCGCCTCCCTGGATCAGACCAATGGGCCCATCTAGCCCAGTATCCTGATCAGCACAATGAACCCTTTGGTTCTGCCCCTCGCAGTAGTCAGTGCTGGGTACTTCTGAGAAAGTTATAAACTTCCCCCAACGCACTCTACTGGGCAATACTCTCAGATGATGAGAGATTCCTTCTTGACACCCACCCCCTTCCTCAGGTGGGCATCAACCCCTGTCCTGAAGTCTGAGAACTGGATATGTCTACACCAATGTCTGCTCCCCTGCATGCCTCATTCAGCTCTTTGACAGGGTAATATCCTGCAGCAGTGAGTTTCACAGGTCCTCATTCCCTCCCCCTCTACATTCACCATACCATAGATATTGGAAGAGTAAATGGGACCCTAGCTCACCTGTCCCTGGCTCCTCTGTCCCTATGCAGCTAGTACCATAGAGACTAGAGGAACTTCATGCACAGACAGGACAATCTCGGCATCCCATCAGTGTGTGTCTCCTCTCTCCCAACTTGGTGCCGTCGCTAATGTCCCCTCTTTTCCTCCCCCATTGCAGAGCGGGGAAAGGGGCCATAATCGGCTTCCTCAAGGTCGGCTACAAGAAGCTCTTCCTGCTGGTGAGTTGCTGTAATGCAGCTCTGAACTAGAGACCCAATAGGGGGCGCTCTCCCCCTCAGTCAGCGCTAACCCAATGCTCTAGTGCGACACTAGGGGGTGCCGTGCTGCAGGGAGCAGGGTGGATGGCTCAGTAGGGGGCGCTGTCCCCTTACAGTCCGTGCTGGCCCCAGTGCTGTGCTGTCTAACTGGCCTTTTGTGTTCCATTGTGATCCTTGTTACTTGGATCTATTTCAGTATCAGGGGGAAAACCTCTGTTGGAAAAGGTTCACCCAGCCAGGGCCGGCTTTAGGCTGATTCCCCCGATTCCCCGGAATCGGGCCCTGCGCCTTAGGCGCCTTTTTAATTTTTTTTTTTTTTACTCACCCGGCGGCGGCCCACTCCGGGGGTCTTTGGTGGCATTTCAGCAGCGGGGGGGGGTCCGCTCTGGAGGATTTCGGCGGCGGGGGGTCCTTTGGTGCCACGGAAGACCCGGAGTGGACCCCCCGTCGCCGAAGTGCCGCCGAAGCCCCGGACCGCCGCCGGGTATTCGAATCAGGCCCCGGGCTTCGAATTGGGCCCTGCACCCAGCTTTAATCAGGACTCCTGGGTTCTATCCCTGGCTCTGGGAGGGGAGTGGAGTCTGGTGGGTTAGAACCGGGGCGGGGTGGGGGCTCGGAATCAGGACTCCTGGGTTCTATCCCTGGCTCTGGGCGGGGAGTGGGTTCTAATGGGTTAGGGGGTATCCGGGAGCCAGGACTCCTGAGTTCTCTGACCTTTCAGGGCAGGTCACCTATTCTGGGGCCCCCCTGGTTATTCAGCAGTACCTGCATATTCTCTCGCCTCTTCCCCCTCCCCCCCCCAGGATCGCCATGGGGCTCACAACGAGGTGGAGCCGCTGTGCGTGCTGGACTTCTATATCCACGAGTCGCTGCAGAGGCACGGCTACGGCAAGGAGCTCTTCCAGTGCATGCTGCAGGTGAGAGCCGGGGCCCAAGGGAATTGCTCTGTCTGGGAGGGTCCCTCTCACCCCTTTCCCGCCTCCCTGCCACACCGGGTGGGAGGGTTTGGGGATCACCCAGACCAGTAAGGGGGTCTGGCACCACTTGCCGTGTAAATTTGGGTGCTGTCGTGTTCTGTGCTATGGCTCAGAGCTCTGATTCCAGGCACAAAGGTCTCACCCTGGCTTCCACCTACCTAGTTACTCCTTGCAGGGTGACCCAAGTCCCCCCCAAACCTGTCTCCCTGAATTCTGAATTACCCCACACTTGGACCTTTCCCCTCTGGTTCCCCGAAGGGGTGAAATCTGCCTCCAGTTATCCGTGCCCTTTGTCGCACAGGCTGCTCCCTAGAGTCCGGCTTGGGGGAGAAATAAATGAAAAAGTTGATTGAATAGAG